ATGCACTCGGACCTTAAACTAAGGAAGTCAAAATCGCCTAACGATGATGAAATTTTTCGTGCGGAGATGAGATTACATAGTATTTGGTTTGGTGTTGTGTTGACCCCGCTAGCTTTTCCATTATTCGGCTGGTCTCTTCTAGAAAAATGGCCCTTCTCTATTCCGATTGGTGCAATGTATCTTGGTGAGAAGCATTTCCTCCGCATATATTTTGAAAAAATAAAAATATTAATATACTGTCGCTAAATAAGAATCAATAATAAACCCGATTTTTTCTTTTAAAAACATATACATATATTACATATTCCCGTTAATAAGGAGGATTCGCAGTCCATTGGGTGCTAATCGTAAACTCAACTTATCTAATAGATACAAATCCCACCAAAAGTTCTTCGGCAATAGCGTTAAAAAATTTAACAAGCTTTCTACTCGGAGGAATAATAATAGGGTTTGCTTCACCGATATACAAGCTGATAAACATAGGGTTGTTATTTACCCTTGCCTCGGGTGTGAACGTATTATGCACCTCGTTGTTGGTGATTGTGATCTTCAAAGGTGAAAAATGGCGGGAGGAGAGAGGGGAGGACAAAGGTTGAAAATGTAATCGAAAATGTAGTTATTATTATTATTTTTCTTCTTATGTCTAATATCAAGTTAAAGGAATGCTTTCCATCACGAGTATTTATAAGTAAAATGAAAAATGCAGTTACAGTTCCTAATGACCTAACCTTCAGCAAAAAATCTACCTAGGCATCGATGTTTCGAGAAGCGTTTTACATCTACCAAATGAACCTGTGATTCCAATTGCAATTATTTAGTATTCCAATGAATTTCCATCTATTCTATTCATCACCCTGATTTGATTTTTGTTATCAAAGCACGCAAATTAAATGTGAAGCGTGGTTGGAACGTTTAATGGATAAGATTTTCGACCTGGACACTTATTCAAATGCCGGCGATCGGAAAGTAAGAATTTTGCGTCGTACTATCTATCTACTTATTATAAATAAAATTAATCTTTAACAAGCTTATTTGAGTATTATGAAATAATCAATTTTACAGTATATACAGCATATTTTCGATCTAAATTTTAATCCAAAATTTTTCTCTTTTGCATTATAATTCATCGACTTTTTGTTTATATTCTCTTTGATTATATGGTTAAATAGCTCCAGGTCACAATAAAAAATCCAAACATTATATCTTTCTTTTTACCATTACTACCTAGCAAGCACACGCGTATAATTAATAGTATAATTAATAATTAACTACTATTTACCTTTTTTTCTTTTTTTCTTCCTTGTGGGTTTTTAAAGTTCCACATGGGTCAATTGTATTTTTGGCAGGCTACGATTAATTTATTTGATGGAAAATTATTAATGTAATGAAAACAAACATGAGTTTAATACAATTCTTGTATTTGATGTTTGCAAAATAAATAATAAATAAAATTGATCATTGAAAATTTTAAAGTCAGAATACGTACAATTTTAAAATATACTATTTATCGTAAAAAAATATATTAAAAAATTTAATTAAAAATGCAAATAATATTTTTTAAACTCTTGTTTTATATTTAATATATATTTAATATTTTTAAATATTTATATTTTTTTTAAAAAATTTTTTTCTCAATCAATTTTGAGTACTACCGTATTTACAAAAAAAATATTTGTTTTTTATATTTATATTATATTTTTTATTTAACGGATCCTTAGTCTGATTTTTCTCATTACTTTTTTCTCTGTTAAAATATTGGTTCTCTCCGGCTCTGTGTAGTTCTAATTTATTTTTTTGGATTTATAAAATACGTATGCATGGGTCTTAAATCTTCAGTTCGATAATCAGTCTAAACCTTATTTTGTTATTTATTTGCGATTAGATCCCGGGAAACGTAACTTGTAGATTTTTTTTTTTTTATATTCTAATGTCAAGATTCCAGTAATATAATTGGCGGTATTTTTTACATTTAGATTAATTAAATTAATATTGTATCTTTCTTAAGTTTATTTAACAGTAAATCTACTTTTTTTATTCTTTTTAATTTATTAAAAAATCTTTTACAATAAAGGCGTACATAAAAATACGAAAGTATTATGCGCGCACTTTAGAACAATCTACATTCTGGACTTATCAAGCCAATATTTTGCTTTCTCTTCTTTTCTCATACCTCCAATTCCATATTGATAACAATTTCCAACATTACTTTATCCATTTGCATTTTCAGCTTTGACAGATTTTAGGTACCATCGAAATGCATTCTCGTAGTCTTGAGTAGTTCCAATTCCATATTGATAACAATATACAAGATTACTTTGTCCACTTGTATTTCCACCTTCAGCAGATTTCAGATACCATTGAAATGCTTTTTCGTAGTCTTTAGTAGTTCCAATTCCATATTGATAACAATGTCCAAGATTACTTTGTCCATTTGTATTTCCATCTTTAACAGATTTCAGGTACCATTGA